CGATTTTTTTTTTGTTTTTTTTTCTTCTCCATTTTGCTTTTTCTGCCCGGGCTCCAGGGGTTTAAGCCAAGCTCCGGAACGGTTCAGGAACTGAATTTCCGCAGCAACAAGAATGTGTGGGGTTATTTCAGCGTGGCTGCTACTGGCGGCTTACATGAATTTGCGGATTCCCAGTTCGGGCACTGCTTCTCCTGGGGAGAGAACCGGGAAGAGGCCATTTCGTCAGTATCTCCCTCCTTCCCTCCTTTCTTCGGGAAACTAAAAGTTAGCCTGTGGCTTCAGATGCAGCGGCACCAGGAGATAAAGGAGGCGAATCACCGAGCAGACCCTGTGTCAAATACCCTTTGCTAAAATCCAAGAGCGAAGTCTGCCCTCTTCCTGTGTCCGAGATCTGTAAAGGCCAGGGAGCTCACCAAGGGCATTTTGGTCTTGGGATCATTACAGGTCGCATATAAAAGGTGCCAAGTACTATAGCTTTAAAAAAAAAAAAAAAAGATGTGTGTGGGACTTCTTTAGATACAAACCTTTTAAGTAGGTCCTGGAGAAACTCCCCTTGACAAAGGGGCTCCCGAATCCCGAAATACCCACATCTTATAATTTCTCCTGCCTTGCCCCGAGCGCAGAGAGGTAAAAACCAGCTCACGTTGTGATTAAACCTTCTCGTGTGGATGAATAACTGTCCTTGAGAGTGAAAAGTCCCGAAGACATTGCAGTCATTCTGTCTCAAAGACATTAAAATCAGGGTGCCTGGCTGGCTCAGTGGGCGTGGCATGTGACTCTTGATCTCAATGTTGTTAAGTTTGAGCCCCACGTTGGGTGTAAAATTGAAGGGGGAGGAGGAAGGCCAGCCATCCCAGCCCATGCCGATGCAAACGGCCTGTGGCTTGCGTGTCCCATGCTGTGAATGACCAGTATCCATTTCAACAGAATTCAGAGGGAAGAATTTCAGCATTTCTTATGGCCGCCAGAGTCCGGTGCGGGGCGGGGGAGGCGGGAATCAAGGGTGCCAGTTCCCCCAGGACTGAGGCTTTCCTAGGATTTGGGATTTCTCACTGCTACAATTGGGCGTGTCCTGAGCAAATTGGAACAAGTGGGTCACCCTTGAGCCCGGTAGCTTGTCTCGTACATGCAGATTCCGGTGCCACAGCTGACCTTCCGTAGACTATTGACGCCCTCATTTGATCTTAGTGCATCTTGTGTATTTTCTCTCCCCCCCGAACTGGGCTTGTGATTTGCCCCTTTGCTCCACCTGCTGAATGCACGCTGGGACACCAATGTCAGATATCAAAGCTCCCTCCCGGGAAGAGAATTGTTCTAATCCCACCTCTTTCTCTGGTGCCCAACACTCTCCCTGTGATTTCATAGGGAGTAGGGGTGTCAGCCCTTTGGACTGGAGCCCTGTTTGGGGGAAGGCCACCCCTCTGGGAGATGGGAGGTGGTGACCAACCAAGCACGGGTGGATGGGTGACCGCCACCCCCTCAGTGGAGGGACAGCATTGGCCGTCCGTAGGCCCACCCCGTGCATACCCAGCAAAGCAGCTGCCCTGGGTGCTGGGGATTTGAATAGGGTTGGCCGGAGAGAGGCAGAGCTACTGGCCGTGGTTAATAATCATTACCATCACGGTAATTAATCCTGTTGGTAGCAGCTGACCTTTTTTATCAGTGACTGTGTGCTCTCTATGGATTGTCTCACTTTAATCCTCAAGCACCCGTTGGAAGTCAGAGTTATCTCCCCATTTTCCAGATGAGGAAACTGAGGCCCAGAGCGGTTAAGCCACTTGCCCAAGATTGCCTGACCAGTAAATGCTGGAGCCGAGATTGACACCTGGGCCATTGGACTCAGGCCCCCCTCTCTCAACTGTGTTACTCTGGCTCTCTGAGAAGCACGCAGGAACTCTGTTGGCCGGTATATTAATTTGGAAAACAATCAATGTGCCTTTCCCCTCAAGGAACATGGTGGTGGCTTTGAAGGAGCTGTCCATCCGGGGCGACTTCAGGACCACCGTGGAGTATCTCATTAACCTGCTGGAGACCGAGCGTTTCCAGAACAATGACATCGACACAGGGTGGTTGGATCACCTCATCGCTGAGAAAGTGCAGGTGGGGGGGCTGCATGCTTCTCCCCTCGGGGTCGTGGAGCCCCCGGCTCCTCGTGGGCTCGGTCACCACCGACACTGAAGCGTGGAGTCTTTCCTAGGCTGAGAAGCCAGATATCATGCTTGGGGTGGTGTGTGGAGCCTTGAACGTGGCCGATGTGATGTTCAGAACCTGCATGACGGATTTCCTACACTCGCTGGAAAGGTAGGGCATGATGGTAATTCTTTTCCCCCTGTGGGATGCGCGTTAGTGGTGAGGAAGGTGATGACCAGCCCCCAGGCAGTTAGGGAATCCCTCCTCCTTGCTTGCCTCTGAAATTCCTCGCCTGAACTGAGTCTGCCCTGGAGGAGAGTCGCTGGGGATGGGATCCTCAAGGCAGCAGACAGAGGGGTGCTTATTCATGCTGACTTGTGCAAGCGACGTCATAATACTTGAGTTCAGAAAGAAGGTGGATTTGAGAAGCAAAGCAGGGTATAGGTCACCTCTACAAATGTTCTTTCCGGTCCCTCGCCCGAATCAGACGGTGACTAGTGAAATGGAAGGGGCCAGGTCGCTCACTGTTAGCATGGGCCAGGATTTCGCAGCTTCAGCACCCTTGATGTTTTGAGTTCTTTTTTTTTTTTTTTTTTTT